TACCAAAGTTTTGGAGTGACCCCCCCTCCCCCCCCACTATAGAGGCTCATGCGCTAAGCTCCAGGGGTCCCTGGTTCGGTTCCACCCGTCGGCGTTACACACAGCACTGATGCAGTAAAGCACTACGACTCCTACGCAGCACCCCCAGCTGCAGGGACCCCTCCTTCCCACCCACGCCTGGAAGCCCAGAGCCGAAGCTCTGACCGTGATCAAGAGACACACCTTGGTGTGGGTGAAAGCAAAGCCATCGGGGTTGGTCACGATCTCCAGGAAGATGTCCAGCTTGTCCAGGATGGAGGTGAGAGACGGGTCTTGGCCGTAACCATCCAGAATCTGAAGCAGGGGAGTAAATCAAAGATGCCCCCAGACCCAGGCTCACTGGTCATGCTAGCCCCGTGCTTCGTTACGCTCACGGGGCCCAATCCTCCGCCCATGTAAATCAGCTGTCACTTTACACCGGCTGAGCCCCTGGCCTGTTGGCTCCAAACCCTCAAATATGGGGGCCTTTTCAAAAGAGCGGGAGCTTATTCCAGCCTTTCTGGCCTCCGCCAGGCCCACCACCCTCCCCAGCTCCTAGCTGGGATGCCTGTCTCTGTCAGGGGTGTTGGATGCTGCCCCTAGGCCAAGCACACCCCAGGAAAGGGACCCCCCCCCCAGGCATCTCTTCACCCCTCCTCCTGAATCGTGCCGTCCTCAGCTGAAACCGCTGCCCGGACCTTCTTTGCAAACAAGACTCCGCTGGCTTGGGTGATCCATTCCCGGGAGTGAATGCCGGTGTCGAGCCAAATAGCCGGGCGCTTGGTTCCTCCGGTGCTGAACTGCAGGGAAAAGCAGAGAGGCAGCCGGCTGATTTTTTTTTTGCAGGGCGGCTCACACCTCCTTGTGCATGCTGCAGCCGCATGCTGCACACTTGATCCCTTAGGGAGTCCACGTCACGCCACAGGTCTCTGAATTTCTCAGTCTCCCCACTTTTTAAGTGACATCACACTTAGGAACTGAAAGATCATTTATGCCATAATAATTTGGAATCCCCCCTTGTATTCCCATTAGAGCCACCTTCCATAATGACCAGACCTTACAGCACTGGATGCATACACTGTATTGTATATTTCTTCACTCATCCCTGAAATGCAGCTGCTTCTGGGGTGGAATAGAGCCACACCACTAAACTGTAGTTTGTGAAAGGAAGCAAACAATTTTGGGGAATTTAAGTCAGTAAAATATACTAATTACTCAGTTTGGAATCTAGCCACAGCATCAGGATTACTGATTATCAGTGTTCCCTCTAATTTGTTCTATCCATGTGCAGAATAATATTTTATGTGCACCGAAGCATGTGCAGATGTGCACCACCATGATGCTGGCTGTGAATTCTACGGGCTCTCTGCTAATCACCTGGGTGGCAGCTGGCTCTGCTGGGTGGCCGCCCAAGCGCACTGCTTACAGGGAACACGGCTGATCATTGCTGCAAAACATTCTGTAGGTGTATTTAATGACCGCACGGGGTCAGGACCACAGCTGTGCAGCTCAGCCAACAGACAGCACCTCCAGCCGCACAGCATCCTCTACAATCATGCTGGGACACTGACTTAGCACCGCCTCAAAGGGAAGAGCTGAGTCACACATCAAAACAGCTTGTTGACAGAAAATGGGTTGTCTGATAAAAAAAGTAAAATGTCACAAAAAGCATCTCGTTTTGTCCAGAATTTTGAGGGTTTTTTTTTTTTAACAAAAACTCAAACATTTCCAAGGATTTTGTCCAGAATTTTGAGGGGGTTTTTTTTTAACAAAAACTCAAACATTTCCAAGGTCATTTTTGTCTACTTTTTTTTTTTCTTTCAGGAAAAAGTCGCATGTTTTAGGCAGCTCTTGGGAATCACCTGCTAAGTCACAAACAAAGTCACCTTCTAAGTCACACTCTACTGTGAGCTGGTTAGGCCTCAGTTGGAGTATTGTGTCCAGTTCTGGGCACCGCATTTCAAGAAAGATGTGGAGAAATTGGAGAGGGTCCAGAGAAGAGCGACGAGAATGATGAAAGGTCTAGAGAACATGACCTATGAGGGAAGGCTGAAGGAATTGGGTTTGTTTAGTTTAGAAAAGAGAAGATTGAGGGGGGGACATGATAGTCGTTTTCAGGTATCTAAAAGGGTGTCATAAGGAAGAGGGAGAAAACTTGTTCATCTTGGCCTCTGAGGATAGAACAAGAAGCAATGGGCTTAAACTGCAGCAAGGGAGGTTTAGGTTGGACATTAGGAAAAAGTTCCTAACTGTCAGGGTGGTCAAACACTGGAATAAATTGCCCAGGGAGGTTGTGGAATCCCCATCTCTGGAGATATTTAAGAGTAGTTAGATAAATGTCTATCAGGGATGGTCTAGACAGTATTTGGTCCTGCCATGAGGGCAGAGGACTGGACTCGATGACCTCTCGAGGTCCTTCCAGTCCTAGTGTTCTATGATTCTATGAAATACCGTTCCCTGCGTTCTCCTGGAGGTCTGCCATAGGCAATAATAGAATCGTCCATCTTGGGTCACACTATCCACCAGAAGCCAGAAAGGGCGCTGAAAGCCATTAAAATACTCTCCGGGAAAGGGTAGCCGGCAGGGGGAACTATGCTTTGCTTCATCTCCATGGTGGTATTTAGGAAGTAAATGCTCCTCTAGCCGACAGGGCTGTCCTTAGGACTTATGGGGTTCTAGACCGTGCTACTAAACTGGTTCCCCCGTGCCCAATGGCAGCAGGGGGAAGGATGACTTTTTAGAGCTGTGAGTTTATAATCTTCAACAACGCACTCATGAAATAGTTTTAAAGAAAAATGTAAACGCAGGCCCTGTGGACTAACACAGGAAATTCAGAAACTGACAGGCTAGACCTGGGGTTGGCACGTCTGTGAAAAGGCTTCGTTCCTATTCGAATGGCTCTTTCACAGGTTGGTTGTGCTGCGACTTCCTTTGGCTGGCTTTTCCCCTTTTGCGTTCACTAGATCCTCTCCGGAGGAAGCAGAGCCACAGAACAGGAAGAGAAAGAGGCGGACATTAAGACCCTGTCGTGCCCCAAATTTTCAGGCACCCTACGCAGCTGCATGTTCTATGTATGGGTCAGGAGGGTCCCATCTAGGGTATCCTAAAGATGATGCCACGTTTCCACCAGGATAACTCCACCGTGTGCAGCGACGTTACTGCCGATTTACCCTGGTGCAACAGAAAGTAGAGTTTGCCCTTGTGTGTTTGCAGCGGAATGGGACGGTTTGCATCTCCCCCTAAAGAACATTAGGAATTACCCCATTGAGACCGGGGAAGGTACAGCAACGAGAAACCAGTGTGAGATGGAGCCAGGTCCCTTTCTACCCTCTTTGTCTTTACCTTCAGGACGTAGATCGGGCGGCCCTCATAAGTGTTGCCGATCTGAATTTTGCTGACCAGGTTTGGGTTGGCCTCAATCAGTAAGTCCATGAATTCGTAGATCTGGCGTAGAAAGAGGATGCTGGAGTTAGGTCTAACCTGCAGGTTACCTGTGTGGTCCCCACACTCCCTTTGCGTCAGAGAAACCCGGTGACTGTTTTCTAGCTGGATTCCAGTGCTTTCCGATCCAGGCCGTGGCGTAGAAATGACCCAATCCTGATCTTCCCTTCACCAAACTTTAAACACAAACGTTTGCCATTTGTGCACGGCTGCCCAAGAGGAGACCTTTGCAACTAAGCGGCTTGCTGAAATCTTTCAAGAGGGACTTTCGTTTGCTTTACAGCTGTTGTTGTGTAGCCAACGTTAGTGTTTTCCAGCAAATCTCGTGATATGGGTAGGGCGGGGGGGAAGGGGGACTCCAAGATTTTGGAAAGTGGTGTAGGGCCGCAATCTTCCATGATATGAATGGAGGAGGTGTGGGGTCTGGGATGGAGGTTGGGTGCAGAAGGGAGCTTGGGGTAAAGGATTGGAGTGCAGGAGGCAGAGTGGATGAAGCAGGAAGCTGTGACCTAGGGCAGGGGACTGGGATGCAGGGTTTTGGGTTGAGACCTAGAGTAGGAGAGGATTGCGATCTACAGCAGGTGATTGGGGTGCCAGATCTGGGAGGGGGTTTGGGTGCAGGAGGGGGCAGAGGGCTGGGGAACGGAGGGGCTGGGGTGCCAGAGGCAGGCTCTAGCTGGGAGGCGCTTACCAGCAGAAACCTGAGGCAGACTGTCTGCTGCAGGCTTCTGCCTGTTTTGGGTTGAGACCTAGAGTAGGAGAGGATTGCGATCTACAGCAGGTGATTGGGGTGCCAGATCTGGGAGGGGGTTTGGGTGCAGGAGGGGGCAGAGGGCTGGGGAACGGAGGGGCTGGGGTGCCAGAGGCAGGCTCTAGCTGGGAGGCGCTTACCAGCAGAAACCTGAGGCAGACTGTCTGCTGCAGGCTTCTGCCTGTTCCTC